ATGAGAGCAAAACAGAGCAGCAGACTGGAAAAGAGGACCACATCACAACCCAAACAAACAGCAGCAGAGCAGCCTGTGGGCTTCTCTCCTCCAGCAGATTAAAGCTCCAAATGATGATTCACTAGACCTCAAATACAAAAAAAAACACACTTAATGAATTTCAGTTTTCATTCACTTTATTCTATAGGCTTGCCTAATAGTCACTTTACGTCTACCTTTTGCGTATTAAAAGTTGTATTGAAAGAATAAAGCCTGTAGTCTATACCACAGGTTAGCATAGTCTGCTTTGTTTCATGTTTCTACTGGTTTCATTAATTGGCTCTATTATGATATTGTAGTTCCAGTTAAAAGATTGAGGTTTATTTTTAAGACTTTATTTTGGGTAAAGTTTACAGCCTGCCACGTTGTTTCTTCTGCTTTGCTCTGTGTAAAAATACGAAAGAGATTTTCATGACAAATTAAGGATCCTTAGTGTAAAATGCAAAATGTGTGTCTGTGACTCGACTTTTTCTGATGACACTTTTAACAAAACAAAACAGATTTTTCACTGAACAGCAGAAACTACAAATGCACAGCGCATCAGTTGTTTACAGAGTGACCCTGCTGCAGGGCTCCTTTAAATATCCCTTTACTGTTGGCCATATGGGAAGCTCATACGAGGTCTGCACGGGTGTTCCAGACTGCCATCTGGATCCGATCACGGACCACAAATACAGATATAGTGAAAGCGCTTTGGTAGCAGCGCGGGCCGCCCAGTCTAATGAATGGGAAGAGCACATTTCAACCCCCATGCAACAGGTCAGCAGCAGGCGTGGGCTTCACCTCACCTCACACACACACACACACACACACACATCAAACGCAGGACGGATCGACTGTCGGGGTGAGGCGAAACCGAAATATACCTCCTCGCCGAACAAAAGAACAAAATGGCAAGAGGTGATACGTGATACGTGATACAGCAAAGTTAAAAATAGACTGTGCTGACGGATGGGACAGAGTTTCATGACCTCGGCATGCAGCGCTCTTCCTTTAAATCTTGAGTATCTGTGGCTCTGGATTGAATTAAAAGGGATTTTTTTAAACACCATTAAAGATGAAGAAATAGGATCAATAAATCTCACATCTCAGATTCTCCTGCAGCCCTGCTGGAACATGAGAACAGAGAGAGTCAAATGTTCTCACGCATGTCAAAGCACAAAAAACGTCCTGTTTTTGGGGGGGATTCAAAGGGTCTCACGTTATGTGAAGCATAAATGATCTGCCTGAGAAGTCCACCTTTTTAGGGGGAGGATATTTCTTTTGTTTTGATGTCACTGCACATGTGCGTACTCCACAGAGGATCATCTAAACATTACATCATGCAGGAGGAATCCACGAGAGAAGCTGTGAGCTTCCCACTGTGGTTTTTCCTTCACATCCATCCGAGCTCAGTGGGAAAAGAAAAGGAATTAAGAGGGAAAAAATCCTGAAAGCCATTTGTTTTCTTGGAAAGTTTGATTCAAAGGACATCAGACATCTGAATCAGGCGACGGAGGTGGTCTTTGCTCAGGGTCAGGCCGATAAAGAAAATCTATGAGGGGAGCACATTAGCATAAAGAAGGTGTTGCTTTTTGTGTGACGACTTGAGAAACTGTTAATTTTTCTTTGAAGAGGAACTCTGGTGTTTTCAAACCTGGGCCCTGTTTTTACATTTCTTATGATATTAATTACTAAAGTTGAAAAAGGTCTAAAGGGGATTGATCCAGCCTGCAGCATTGAAACAGGCTGTAATGTCTGCTATGATATATTGGGACTAAATCAGCTGGTGTGTTACTCTAAGTGTCTGACAACATTACAGAAAGGATCCTTAAAGAGATGGACATTTGTTTATAGGTAAAACGCTTTAATTTAACCGGAGACAGCCGTTAGATCTCATTCTTCACAGCCACCAGACTTCATTGACAAAAACTGTGACATGATGTGCAGAACTTGGGAACCATCCTGACAGTTGACCACAACTCTCTTCATTTGTTACACAAAAATATTTAGTGTGTAGTTTGGATCAAATGCAACATTTTTGTAACACAAAAAAAAAAGTGGTAGGAAAGTGAGTCCTGTGTTCTCTGGAGTCTGGAGGCTTTGAGGAGAGTAACCATACAGCTGTATTCCTAGAAAATAATCGCCTTCCTTCTTTAAGAAAATGTACATCTCTGTAGAATTTCCTTTCTGTTTGGCTGTCAGACACTCACCCGCAATTTCCACACGGTCCATTTGCTACGAGTCTAATTTTGACAGAACCCGCTGCAAGCATGCGTCAAGCTGGACAGAATAGATCGACCCGGACGGGAAGTCAACAAGGAAACGCACAGAGCATCCGGTCAATTTCAAAATAAAACCCAATATACAGACTCCTGATACATTTATCATCACTTTATCAACATCAACGTCAAAACAGCCACCAAGTGAAGAACCAATAATCTTCAGAAAGACAAAGCAACATGTTGTTTGCATGTTTTTCTCTCTATTCCCACGTGATCTTGTAGTTCTCCTGTGATCTTGGAAAAAAGCTGCTTCACACTCCAGAAAACTGACCCACCGGGGCAGGGCGCACAACGGAGCAAAAAATGAGGCACCGACAGATCGCAGCACTCATGGACTATACGGTTAGAATAATTATGTGGGTCTGTCTTTGACAAAAACAAAAACTTGTAGTATGCTGATCAGAAGGATTTGTTAGGAGCCACTACAGCCTCAGACTCGGCTCCTGGCTGAGCGCTATAATATGTTTTTCATCTAGACCCAAAATACGAAAAATCAATTGTGCTGAGCTTTAAAAGCCTTTTCCCTCTGATTGAACATGTAAACAGTCCACAGTAGTGAGTGTAGGACTTTGTAAATGTAAGTGTACTACAGAGCAGCAATTCTTCATACAGACGTTGATTGATTCAAAGACATTCCAGAGGTATAATGGGAATAATTTCTCCCACTCCGTGTCATAAGTGCATGCAACATGCCTCACAGTGACACGAACAATGGCCTCTTTCACTGCCCTCGCCTGCCTGGAGATGGGGAGGTGCATCATGGGAAGCAGACAGGCTTCATATACAGTTCAGAGGGGATACTTCAGAGAGGCCTCACACAAACCCGGGCAACAAGCAGACGCACTTAAACTTTCCGATATGGGCCGAGTGTGAGTTATGTGCTCGGATTACTCCTGCTTTGTAACTCACACACACACACACACACACACACACACACACACACACACACACACACACAGACGAAACACTCGGTCTGGATTAGGGGGCAGCCGGTTCACAGACCTCAAACAACTCCTGGTTTTATGTAAGGCTGGCTACACACTAGATGATTCTAGGCCTGATTTTGGGGCCTGATATGTCCCCCCAATAATCAGGGGCTGTGACCCGATTCGTTGCTTGTCGCAAATGATTATTTGTCCGAATAATTGTGGGGGCGGCAGTAGCTCAGTCTGTAGGGACTTGGGTTAGAAATTGGAGGGTCGCTGGTTCAAGTCCCATTGCCCTTGAGCAAGGCACTGAACGCCCAACAGCTCCATGTGTAGCAGCCCTACTCTGACATCTCTCCACTAATGCATGTCAACAGGTCGCATTTGTGCACGTGTGTGATTCAGGCCTACATGTGTGAGAACCATGTCTCTAAATAACAGAGTGAAAACCAGAATTTCCCCTAATGGATTAATAAAATTGTAAAAAAAAAACAAAGGCATGTCGTGTCAATACGTTGGAGCCTCCCACATCTTGCATCTATATCGATATTTAGATTCCAGATCTGGCTGCCTCCAACTGAATACCTGTGTATTTATAATGAAATTACACACAAACTTTCTAGTGAGCACGGGTTAGTTTCTGGTGTGAAAACATTTATCTCCATAATTTAGATCCATTTACGAGTGAACACTTTGATGAACTCCATCACGGCCTTTCATACGCAAACGTCTCGTCTTTCACCCAAAGATTAGCACAAGAGAAACGCTCCACATCTGCAGAGTAGATCTCTCACAGACAGTGAATTATGATTTCAGCAGGATATATTTTTTTTAAAGTGTGGGACGTCTGTGAGCTGCTGAGTGCGACAGACACCGGAGAGACGCTCAGATGCCAGCTCTCCACGTGGTGCGGACTATTAGTGCTGTGACAACGTCGACTCCCACTACAGCCTCTTTAACTCCTGGATCTGCACTAAGCCACAAACTCTGGCTATGAGACTAACGGCTCTGGGACAAAGACGGCCTTTGTGTTTGCTGCTGGATTCGAAAGAAAAGCGGGGGATAAGAGTTGTGACTTTATTTACACGTGAGAGGTGCTGAGAGGAGATTTACGAGCAGCATGTCACTTCAGAGTTCCCCTTAAACAAACAGATTTCAGAATGGATCTATTATCAAAAGCAGAAGGCTAAATATGTATTATATTTTCTCAGTCATGTTGGCTTGTAGAAATGAGAGCTGGGTTATTTATCATTCAATATTGAGTCTACTACAGCCGCTTGTTTAACACCTGCTAAGGAAGTCAGAGGGGGAAGCTTGATTTCCTTTGCAGCATAAAGTTATAAATGGAAATCATGTGTCACTTAATAATCAATGTATCACCTTTAAACACTTTCTCTTGTTATTTGTGAACTAAGAGTGACATTACAAGTTGGAAATAATCTGTGTAAACCAAAAAAATCTGCTTTAAGACTCAGAAAAAATGAAAAAACAGAAAGAAAGAAAGAAAACAATTAATTATTCTGCCAAAAGAAATCAATAAAAAGATTTTGTTGCTTCTGGGATCACAAATCATATGTCAAATAAAATGTTAGAAATTGAAATGATGTGACTACAGCAGTGTCTGGATTGTTGTTTGTGTGTATCAGTGCGACAAATGTTTGCCTTCACACTGTTTAACCACAACAGGAAAAAAAAAACACTCTTCCTGCCAACAGAAATCCTGTTTTCAAGTAGAAGAACGAGAAGATGGAGTGTGTGCAGAGTTACTCACAGACACGTCCTTCATGTCCTGATGCCGATTACAGATCATTAATCCACGAGCAGCGTTACAGTCGCACTGACAACATCACTATCAGGGAGGAGGAGGAGGAGGAGGAGGTCAGAAACATGATTGACAGGTCTGTGTGTGTGTGTGTGTGTGGGTGTGTGTGTGTGTGTGTGTGTGGGGAGGTGAGTCAGATATATCATCCAACTGTACTCATGTAATGTCACCACCACACACTGTACTACATTACTGTACAGTTTATTTGTGTTAAAAGTTTCCATACTACGGTGGCCTTGAAGGTCAACTTACAAACAAACATTTCACCAGACGCTGAAAACAATTCACTAAATGAAAAAATATTACATGAAACATCAAATTAAATATTTCATTGCTCTCCCCCCCCAAAAAAATCAACTTCTGCAAAAAATACGTCACAGAGTTTAGTCCTAACCTTTCTGGTTTCTGACTCTTTTTATTTTTCAGAAGGGGAAATGTTTCTGGAATCATTTATTTACTTAAAAGACTAAACTTCTTGTTTCTAAAGATTCTTCAATTCATTTATCAGACGCTTTTATCAGAAAGCTACAAACATCAGAAAATGAGAACAGCACAAGCGAGGATGTAGAGAAGAGGAAACAACGTCACAAACAGCTGCAACTTTCTACTTCACTCTGTTCGACAAAATAATACGGTCAAAATATCTGGCTAAATATCAAATGTTTTTAAATAAATTTTAAAAATCTAATTCTAGTCTTTCTGACTTTAGGAAGAGGAAGGAGTCTGTCAGTAAAACTTGTGAACTTGTTGGAGACATTTTTAAATGACTCTTTCTCAGGTCAAGAACGAACACTCTTTACATGTCTTTAAAGAAGAAAGAATTTGGTTCTGTCATATTTCTGTAAATGTATTTGAATGTATCCTCATATGTGATGTGGTTTTATGTGATCAGACGTTGGACATTTTTACTCTCCTCTTGTTTCCCCAAAGAGACTCTCTGTGCAGCTCTTCAGTTTCATGCTTTGTACTAAACTAGGATTTAGATAAATATCATTGTCCCTATTCAAAATATAAATCAAATTCAAATATCTGAATCAGTTATTTAAAAACACAGCAGATGATTTAATACACAAGATTATTTGTTTTTTTGTTCTAAAAACTGTCATCACATTTCCTGGTGAGAAGAAGTGACGTTTCCTGTTCTAATCAAATAACTTTCATGATTGTGTTTGTTTCATTTCACATTAGTTTAACATCATACATTATTATTATTAACATGGGTCAGGATTCAAATACTGAAATTATACCAATAATAATGTTAGCAAGAAGATTAAAGATCAAATGGTTCTACTTTCATCTTTATCAGAAACTGATTCAAACTTTGTTTTTGAGAGTTAATGTAGAATAAAAACACATATCAGGATACTTAAGTGTACTCAGGTTTTCACAGACTCTTTAGCTTTAGTGTAGTTTCCTGTTTTTTCATCACTTACCTACGGTGGCTGGGAAGTGCAAAAACAAAATTACAAAGTGTGAAACAGTTTTACAAGGTCAAGGACAAAACAAATTATAATTTTAGAACACACATTTAATAGATGTGTAACACTTTGACGAGCACTGAGACAAATGAACAACTTCACTTTAACCAGTCTTAAGAAAAACATTTAAACAAATACACAAACAACAGACTCCGGAAAGGGAACGTACCAAATGCCTGAAGTGACCCGTAAGTGATTGAGTGAGCGTTCAATGAGTTTGTTTTGGCAGGAAAAACTGTCTGAAATGTGTTATAAGGATGTTTATGTTAACCGAATGATGTTCAATCCGTTTTGTGGAACCCACCTGAGACAGTTAGCGTGATTTTGCTTTTCGTCTGGGCGGGCGAGGAAAGGACGAGAAAAGATGACCAAGGGCACCTTCTAGACCTTCTGTCTCGTCTGTCTCCTTCAAAGAGACTAGACAAGATTCCAGAGACCGTAAAACAAACTTAACATAATTCGGTGAGCTGCCACTTTTTAACTCGTCTCACCGCTCGTCAAAGTGTTTTGCATCTTTTAAATCTGGTTTGCACTTCCCAGCCACCGTACTTATCCCTGGAACTGAAGCGACTGGTGGATTTATGTTTGCTTCCAGTGACTGAGCTGCAGGTTTGCAGACTTGCTGGAGTCCCATCACAGCGATTTAAGTTGTCTGGGATGATTTAGAGGAGTGACTGTGATGTCGCAGTGAGAGCTAACATCACTGTGTGTGTATGAGCTGCTGGTTTCAGACATGTCTCACTTTCAGATTCAAACCAGCTGCAACATCTCCTTCTTTTATTTTTTAATCTTCTTCTCTGCTTATTCTGCCAGTGGCGGTTCTTCAGATTGTGTCAGAGATTTCAGGACGATAACAGCGACCTGATGATGAATGGAGTGGATGAGTCAGTCTGCATGAAGAATCTCAATAACGCTCTGTCTCAGTTTGTGTTTTTATCTTCTGCTTTGTCTTTTACTGGAAAACTTTTGTAACTGCCCTTTAAACAATTGAACCAGCAGAGCTTAAATCATGTGGTTACAGATAGCTGTAGACTAGGGGTGTGCAATATTGAAAACAAAATCGATATTTTGCTGATGTCGACAATATTTTTCAAAAAAGACTCAATATAGTGTTTTTGTTTTTCTGGTACCTCAGCTGCTCGCTCCTGGTCGTCTGCTTGGTTGTCTTTAACGTCTACTGCTTTAAGACATACAGAAGTCTGCAGATTCACGTCTTTTAGGCAACATTCGTCTTTTCAAAGCCAAACCTCCTCCATGCCTCCGCGTTAGCTCAAAGCGTTCTCATTTGACCATCATCACGCTCGCCAATGTCACTTCTCCCTTATCAAGAATCAGAATACACAGCGATGGCAGAGGAGAAGATACAAAATTCTCCAGATCTAGAGCTGCTGCCTGAGCCAGGACGGAAATACTTTGAATTATTTTAATTTTTTCTTGGAGGTTTTTACTTGAATAAATTAGATTTTGAAGCAAAACCGACCGAACGCTCACTACTGAGGGAAGCAGATGTTAGTTTCTGTAGCCTAGCAACAGTAAACGCAGATGAGAAGCACTCAACTGTGGATGTGGGAGCTGCTTATGGACAACTGGCCCCCATCATTAGTCCTAACTTTTCAAGATTGAAAAAAGAAACGATGTACAACTATCACACACCTAGACAAGGACTTTCAAACCCGACGTAGAAAAAGTATTTGTTCTCAAAGTGAGAGTTCAGGTTCACAGGTGCCTCCTCTGTTGTTCTCACATGCTCGACTGACGCTCATCTCATGACTCAGTATCAACAGCGGAGCGTCCGCACCTCGTTCACCTTTTCCCATCTGTCCTCCATGACACGTCCCGAGCAGCGGACCGCTGCAGGTACACGACCACAGTCTGCTGACTCACTGCAGACCAGAGCACACACACACACACACACACACACACACACACACACAGGTGAACCCACCATGACCTCTGATCACTCCTGCCCTATGAGCTCCCCCCGCTGCTCCATGGTCTGTTCAGGTCATTCAGGTTCACACTTCTTGAGTTTGTTTTAAGTTGACCTTTTCTGGTGACTCACAGTTTAAAACACATTTTACCACTCAGGGTTCTGCAAGAATGAGAAACGGTTGGCGATCAGGTGTCAACATCCGTCTTTTTACAGCCACACACTGAGAGTGTGTGTTTCAGGCTCATTTCTCCTGGATTACACACACACACACACACACACACACACACACACACACACACACACACACACACACACACACACACACTGAGCTGGGAAGATGAGCAGTGCAAGTTTAAAATGTGTTTTTAAAATAATGAAAGAGGAACAAAGAAAACACGATTGTAGAGTTTTAAAAGGTTCTTCAGATTATGAGTTAGTGTTTAATGTCCTACAAAAGCTTTACTGCAGGCTTTCACAACATGGTGTCCCCTGAAATTCAAATCAGGGTCGCCTGAAATTGATCAATAAAATATATATTGTATATTCAAATATATTGAACACAGGCTAGTCTACTGTGATGGGCCAATGCCAAAACAGGAAACCTGCAGTCTCTGTCTGTCTGTCATCCAGTGTGCAGAACGTCCTGCCAGCGTTTCTTCCTCTGTCCACAATAATGCACGTGAAAAAGCCTAAATGTGCTCTGAGATTGATGTTTACTGTAACACACAATAAAACTATTACACGATTTAAAAGACATAAATTAGAGTAAAAAACTGTTTGTGTTGTGTGAGGTCAAAGTGAGGTCTAAAGCTAAAAGAGGTTGGGAACCATTGATTTAGTGGTTTTCTAAGATGTCTGGTGAAATGTTTGTGTGTTTAGGTTTTCAGATCAATAAGAAGTGCACAATGAACAAACAAACTTACGGTATTGAGTTTGTGCACTCAAACTCTCGAGAAAGGTCAAAAAACAAACATGGTTACTAAACCATGTGTTTCAAAATTATACAACCTCTTTTTTTTATTTATGTAAATGTAGTAAAGCTTTTAAAAAAAAAACAAATCTTCAGTCTATACATAAGCAGGAGTTCACCTGCACTTTTTTAAAATAAAAAAAAGAATTTGCACATTTCTGCTTGCCTTCTGAATTGTTGTTGTTGTATTGAAACAGGAAGCAACATTGTTTGATTTTTATTATTTTCATATCTAAATTTAGAATTCTGGTATTGTGATAAGGCAGTGGTGTAGTGATGCCTTTAGAAGTGGGTATACTCTTAATTTACCCCCTCAATGTTTTTTTTCTTTAAGTGTCCCAGCCAGCAGAGGATTAACGGTCTCTGTTATGAACAGTTACATGTTAGACTTCATGCATATTTAGTTAGTTCATGCAGGTAAATAAAAATAAAAATTGCAGCACACTGAATATTGTCAGTCAATCATTGGTGTGAATCAGAGGAGATTTAGAAATGGGCACACCCTATAGAGACTGAAAATAAGTATACTCTGTATACCTGTGTATACCCTGCACTACACCACCGTCAACATGTCTATAGCAGCTTTTTGATAGCAGCTTGCTACCTTCCTACAATCTTTAAAACTCTGGGACTAGAGCAGGTCTAC